AGGAACAAATTTTGATTTTTACAAAAATTTTGTTAGAAAGGTCTGTTTGAGAGAAAAAAAAGTTAGTCTTTGTACAAGTATGTTAGTTGAACCAGTGAAACTTAGATGGTTGCAAAAAACTTTGTATTAGGATTCACTTATTCGAAAAACATTGAAGAAAAAACATACCTTTGCAGAAATTTTGCAAATTTCAAATGATCGTGCGAGTATTTTCTAAATTAAATTTGGTTTACTAACAAAAAATAATGACATCATTAAGATCAGAAAGCAAAAAATTAAATTTGTCGAAAAAATTGGATCTTTCAAAATGAGTAAATCAAGTTTTGAAAAATTTATGACAAGACGATAGAAAGTGGAGTTCGCATCGGAAGAAAGCTTAGCCAGATGTACCAAAAGCGAAAATAGATACTGAGCAAAACACGCAGAAGTCCCACTCTCCCTCAAAACACAGACGCACACTAAAAGTTTTTGTGGTCATCCAACGATGTTATATGACGCCACTAACCCGATATAAAACAGGCCAGAATCTATTCAGCCAAAAAAAGAAAAGGAAAAACCAAAAAGCGAATAGAGATAGTAAATTTACAACCAGCCTTAAAAAAAATTATTTCCTGTAGGATGGTTAGTAAGAATGCATGCTAACATGCTCAGTACATGTCTCTTTCAGTATTTCCAACAGATGTGACCGAGAAATAAGTCCTGTGAGCAAAATTTTTTACGGGAAAAGAGTCACTACCTGGCTGCAACACTCTTGCTATCCCATATTTTGTAATCATATAGTAAACGTAATGAAAATAACTAATCATAAAAAAAGTAGGTTGACAAAAATCTGAATGAAAAACCATAATGTTAATAATACTAATAGCAGCTCCACTCAAAATCTGATAATTATAATGTGCATTTAATTTAATTTTTAGTTAAGAAACAAATACTATGAGTTTCTTTTTGCACGAAGAAGAAAATAAAGCGACATCAATTACAAATTGCATTTTGTCATATATTTTATAGCACGGTATTTAACAGTTTTGCCATTTATTTTACAGAATTAAGCGTTCTATACTTTTAGTAGTTGTTTCTACTGAAGACTTTTCTCAGCCTATAATACAAACCAAAAAACCTGGCCTTTTTCAATCATTTTTGCGATATGATCTCTGAAGGAAAATTCAAAATCAATAGGAACTTTCAAGTAGTGGGCCTAATGTGGATGCCTGAGAAAAGCTAAATTTAACCTCTCTGTTTTCAGATCGTTTGGTGTTAGTGGCAACGTAGATTTTCGAAATAGGGTTTCGAGTAGGTTAAAAAACGAGCCAAAATTCACATGAGTCACGTTTTTTTCTTCATTTTTTTAAAGCATGTGAACAACTGTATCAAAGGCTTTTTTAAAATAATTGAATGCGCACTGTGCCATTGTGACTTAGAATCCCAGATTTGACGCGCTTCTTCAATTATGGTTATTAAACTTAAATAGTACTTTTTTTGATATAGATCCAAACTGATTATGAATCCAAAAATGAACTTTAATAAGAATTCAAAGTTGATTTCTTGTGAGATATTTATTCATTGGATTATAAATGACTCGCTCAGAAATTTCACTCAAAGTTGGTAGTAGAGAGAATGGCCTGTATTTTAATGGGTCCAGTTCTTTGCGTTCTTCGTGGAGAGGTTCAACTTTAGCAACTTTATAACTGACTGGAAGAATATGTAGATGTCCGACTATTTTTTTTCAACTTAACGCAGTTTTGATTTCAGCGATTCAGTGATTTTCGATTTTTCAATTTCCGTTACGTCGATAAATACATTGAATTAGTTTGCTTTCTGAATTTTAAGTACCTCGCAAAAAGTCCGAAATCTCAGAAATCCAAAAAGTCTGACTCTGTAGGTCGGAAAGCTAAATTTTCTGTTTAGCTTTCCAAAAAAATAACGACTATAATATCTTGCGATTCTGCTAACTTCAGTCCGTTGAACAGTTGGTCGTTTTGATTGGTTCCGTCAAAACCCCCACTAATGAAAGCGACCAAAACAGGGTATCCAGCACCATATTTGAAGAGATCATTAGGTGCCCAGATGTTTACTTACAAACAGTCTTCGTGGGAAGAGTTCTTTGATTCGGGGTCGGCGGTTTGCACGCAAGGCGGGCGCATTGACGTCGCGTTAAAGTAAGCTCCTAGGTTTCCATATGGGATCGAGATCCGTAAAATATACTAGCGTGTAGCGCCCCTCTGGTGCTTCAAATTTTTCGCATCTCATGAAAAACTGCATATATTGGAAACCAGATCTGCAGGCTTTTAGTGCACTCTGACACCACCCAATAACATGGTTGGTAACTTCATATTTAATAATTTTTTTAATTCCTATTTTCCGTCAAATTTCGAAGATGTCATATCTCGAAAAATACAAATATTTGGGTAGTCATTTTTGGAGGCCAGATTTAAAACTCCTGGGAGTACCCTGACAGCACCCAACGACAAGGTTGGGAAATTCAAAATTTGAAAAAAGAATTTGTTTGGGTTTTCCGAAATTTTTTTTACAAAAATCACAAGAAACGTCATATCTCAAAAACTACAAGAATTTGAGCAGTCATAACTAGAGGCAAGATTCGCATCCACCTGAGAGTACTCTGATAGTCCCCGACTACAGGGTTGAGAATTTCAAATTGAAGAAAAAAATTTGATTAAGCTTTCTGAAAAATTTTTGAAAAATCACAAGAAACCTCATATCTCGAAAACAACAAGGATTTGAGCAGTCATATTTGGAAGCAAGATTTGCAACCCCTGAGAGTACCCTGACAGCACCCACTACCCTTACCACTACGAGGTAAGGAATTTCAAGATAATTCAAATTTTTTGAAAATCTCGAAAACTACAAGGATTGTAGAAAACTACAAGAGCAGTCATAATTGGAGGCAGGTGATATAAAAAAGTGATAAAGATGAAAAAGAAAAATAGAAAAAGAAAGATAAATAAGGAAGTGAAAAAAAGTCAAAAGAAGGATCGAAAAAAAACAGGAAAAAGAAGAATAAAAAAAGGAAGTGAAAAAGATCACAAGAAGAATAGAAAAACAGACAAAAAAAGATAGGAAAAGACAGAAAAGCTTGCAAATGAAGGCTTGAAAAAAAGACAAACAAAATTAAAAAATCCAGATAAAGAGATTGGAGACAACTGTTTGACAGTAGTAATATTTTGAACTCAATCGTCGAAACCAAATTGAAAATTTAAAAAAATTAGCAGACGGGTAGACAGACATAATCAAATTAATTTAAAAAGCAAGTATACAGACAGACAAAATTAATTTGGCCTCGAAAAAAAGTTACTGAAAAATAATGACCTCGCGGAAAACTAATTAAAAAACTTTCTTAATCATTGCAATATATGACATAGCCTAAACATGAAAAAATTCTTTCGCTAAACATGCAAAATTATAATGCTTAAGCATTGGAGATAGCTGTCACTGGCATTTAAATATAGTACTAGCATTTTTTCATAACCAAAAAAATGGTTTTTTTTGAAATACAATTTCTCAAAATTTTTTGAATGTGCTCGTAACTAAACAACACAAGGGATAGAAACTATAGTTAACTCAACAATAGAGCAGTCACCAAAGTTTTGATCATCTTGCATTTACTATGCTTTGGAAACGAAGTGAATTGTATCAGAGTTTTCTTATGCAAATTATACACTGAGGGCATCAAACTTTTAAATTTTGGCAAAAAATTTCAGAGATGAATATTTTCAAAATTTGACTTTTTAAATTATAAGACATTGATCCATCCAGCATACATAAACAAGTCATACAAAAGAAATAGGACTTTTAGCGCTTTTGAAAAAAAATGTCCAAAAAAACGGAAAAATTCCCATTTTTGTGTAGCCATGACTAGAATAGGCACACAAAACTAAGTTTTGCATGCATTTTTTTTTGGAAAATGTTTTTTAAGTATTATTTCAATTTGCGGTTGAAAAAAAAATTTGTGGGGTAATTTCAAAATTACAAAAAAAATTGTTGTCGCCGTCGAAAAAATGCAAGTCATACAATTTCCATATATGGAAACTATATAATTTGTTTTTTTTTATGATAAAAATTTTTTCTTTTTTTTTATTACGGTACACTGACTTTTATGCCAAATCAAAAAAAAGTCCTTAGAAAATTCGATAACATTATTTTAGCAAAATGTATGAAGTTTGTATGAATAGTATCTTTTCATAGACTAATTTATGGAATTGTATGATTAGCATTTTTGGTTTATAGAGGTCAACCCGGGTTTTTTTTGGCGCGCGCCCTCCCCCAAAATTTGTATATACTGACTCCAAAGGCGGCTTTAGAAAAAATTTCGGGTACGTCGGCCAAAAATGGATATCTCACTCTAGTTCAAAGGGGGACGGATCCCTGGGGGGATAAGCGTTTGTCCCCCTCCCCCTTAATTCACCCCTGATCTTTTGTGCTTATACTTTAAGAAAAAACTTCTAGGTTTCTAATCATAAAACCTTCATGTATTAACAAATGCATATGACACAAATTTCATAAATGGTTAAACGCTTATCATAGAACCTCAAGTTTTTGTACGTATCAAATTATGAGAAATTGACAGATAGCAGGTTTATCATTTTTCTTGTATGATTAGAAGTTACAATCAAACAGGGTGATATTATTCAGTAAAGCAAATTGAGTAAATTACTGTTTAGCCCATCTTGTACAGTAAACGCTGGAAATTTGGATTCAACGTAATAAAATATATTTGAATGATTGCAAGTTGACATAAACTGTATCATTTTGCTATAGTTTGATTCAGTTACACTAATCAAGACAATCTAATTTATACTTTTTTGTCATACTTACAATTATACAAACATTTATAAAATAACATCAAGGTTTTCAGTAATTTTTAGCAAACTATAATTATCTGTAACTCTACTACAAAACATAAATAATCTAATTCGAGTTACACAAGGAATATAAACTAGAAGAAATCAGGGTCCATGAAAGGGTCTGGGTCTCTATCCAGCGATTTATCTCCGATCCACTTCTGGACCTCCAAAGCCACTTCTCAGAATACTCTCCAGTTGAAGCAGAGTGGTTACAAATGACAAGCCTGGAGCAGCTAGATGTCCCACAATCGGCAATGCCACTGTAATCATTACTTCAGCTGATTCTGATAGTTGTAAGCATTTTCGGAAATGTGAAAAGACTTGTGTGTAAGAGTTCTCTTCGCTGATGAACCAGTCATTTTGTTCCCTAACAAAGTAAATTGGTCCATTTTCGGAAGACAGCTGTGCAGCTACCATCTTTTCAATACTCTCTCGTTCCTTGCCAGCCTTCTTTTCTGTTTCAGCAACGGATATCTTGGTGAGATTGAATTTTTGCAAGTAGAGCTTTATTTCATCGTAAATTAACTTCGGATCAATGATCACTCCAAATCCTGGAATAGGGTGCGCTCCACCAGCAGCTGAAGCCGTTGCAACAAGTTTTATTCTTTTCCTCAACTGACTGTACATTTCCTGTACCATCTGCGGCCCCCGGATTTTGATTGAAAACTGAAATGCAGAAGCTTTTGTCTGAGAAGCAAAGCCACGCCTGCAAATTGTTTCCACGAACAGAGCCATATCGAAAGACTGCATTGCTTCGGAGGGCTCTTCAACGTTCACAAGGAATATCTTGTGCAGCTCCTGATCAAAGCCACTGTCCGTAAGCTGCGTCATCAGGAGCTTCCGAATTTCAGTGACGGCATCGTCCTCGCTAACTTTCTGCTTCTTCACTAACTTTGCCACTTTTTCGTCTACGTGCGTTCGCACAAGGTAGAACAACTTTCCTCTTGTAACCAATTCTTTGGCAAAAAAGAGCTCCCCGTCTCCGAGCATCTCTTTGGTCACAATGATATACACGTCGTAGTTGTTTTCCAGCAGTTTAATGTCGTCAAAGTTTGTTTCTCGCTTGAACTTGATCCCATCAATGCCGGGGAGATCCCAGAAAACACAGTTGGGGAAATCTTTATTTACGATTTTTTGAATTTCCATAGTGGTCGGTGCAAGGTCCCCGACAGCAGCGACATTTTCTCCGCAGAGGGCGTTTATGAACGAAGATTTGCCTTGTCTTGATTGGCCGATGATGGCGATATTAATGATCTCGTCTTTCCATCTATTCAGTTCGGCATTTTGATCCTCGTTTATGAGAGAGGCATCCCCATTGAGAGCAGTTGTCTTATCATTGAAATGAAGAACGCCTTGATTCACAAATGCAGTATCTATGTTGAGGTCGTTAAGTAAAAGTTCAGTGTCCATATTCTGCTGTAGAGACAATGTTTAAGCCGATGTTTTCAACGTAGCTAAGTTATGTTATAGCGTATGAGCAAGTTTTGTCATAAAACCAAATTGTTTAAGACAATGTTTTTAGCGTTTTCAAATTATGAAGAACTAGTTTTGCAGGAAGAAAAGGAGACTTTGGAACAAGAATGTTTAAGGAATAAAACTAACCTTCAAACTTTTGAGAAACAAATAATTTTGATGTATTTAATTTTATAGTTAAATCCCTTGGTTGTGTAAACTCTATTTTGATTTATAAATGTAACTGATGTATTTATATTCATTCAAGCCTGACTCAAAGTATCAGTTGTTCAAAAACATCTGCTACCTGTAATACCAACAAACTATTGAACCAACTTTATGAGATTGAAAGAAAAAGCTTCGATCGATCAACATTTACCCCACTATTCAAGTGAAAGTAATAAAAATGAAAGTTTTAGTTTTTTCCTCTCCAAATAGGAGGATGGATATGTTCTGATTTCAAATAGAAACAGAAACATGAATTATTTTATTGCGTTCACAAAATGTGACGCCGCCGCCACCACAAAAGAAATATGTTCTTATTCCCTTGCAAAAGGAAGGGAAATGCTATTGGAATAATTCGTATAACGTTTTAAGCATTGAGAATTGAAACGACTATTCTCATTCAATGCGAATATTAACTATTCGTCTCGTAAAATACGAGCATACGAAGCACTCTTCTCGTAAAATACGAATGTACGAATAGAGAATACGAAGTTAAGAAGTAACTTCTCATTTGATACGAAAAGTGGCGTGATTTCCCCATCTGAGAATAAATAGAAGCTCAAAACTACGGGAATTCATTCCCAACAATATATCTTCTAACACCAACACCACTCTCTTCAACCACCCCCAACCAATCTCTAAAATAATATCTACTCTCAGTAAAAATATCTCTAATCTCACCGTTAAAATAGATATTGAGTCAAAAGGCAACTTGCTGTAAATTCATACTAACTTCTTTTCTAATAAAAGATTTCTCAGCGAATTTTAGATTTACTTTCTAAGATAGAAAGTAGAAAGGACCCTTTACTCCTAGCAAGCGTTTTGTCCGACGTATATAGTTTTTGCTAGCGTAATAATAGATACGGTAAACGTAGTGCAGATGAAAATGAATTGAATATAACAAGTACTAGCGTGTAACGCACCTACGGTGCTTCGAATTTTTGGCAACTCATGAAAAACTGCATACATTGCAATCCACATCTGCAGGCTTTTAGTGTACTCTGACAGCACCCAATTACATGGCTGGTAATTTGATATTTGATTTAGATAAGTTTTTTTAATTCCTGTTTTCCGTCATCTCGAAAGAGTCAAATCTCGAAAAGTACAAATATTTGAGTATTTTATTTGGAGACAAAGTTTACAACACTTGGAGGTACCCTGCCAGCACAGTGTTCGGATATTTGAATTTTGAAAATTTTTCGAAACCTAAATTAATTGAAAGTTTTGGAAAAATCATAGAAAAAATCTCATATCTCGAAAACTACAAGGATTTAAGCCGATGTTTTCAACGTAGCTAAGTTATGTTATAGCGTATGAGCAAGTTTTGTCATAAAACCAAATTGTTTAAGACAATGTTTTTAGCGTTTTCAAATTATGAAGAACTAGTTTTGCAGGAAGAAAAGGAGACTTTGGAACAAGAATGTTTAAGGAATAAAACTAACCTTCAAACTTTTGAGAAACAAATAATTTTGATGTATTTAATTTTATAGTTAAATCCCTTGGTTGTGTAAACTCTATTTTGATTTATAAATGGAACTGATGTATTTATATTCATTCAAGCCTGACTCAAAGTATCAGTTGTTCAAAAACATCTGCTACCTGTAATACCAACAAACTATTGAACCAACTTTATGAGATTGAAAGAAAAAGCTTCGATCGATCAACATTTACCCCACTATTCAAGTGAAAGTAATAAAAATGAAAGTTTTAGTTTTTTCCTCTCCAAATAGGAGGATGGATATGTTCTGATTTCAAATAGAAACAGAAACATGAATTATTTTATTGCGTTCACAAAATGTGACGCCGCCGCCACCACAAAAGAAATATGTTCTTATTCCCTTGCAAAAGGAAGGGAAATGCTATTGGAATAATTCGTATAACGTTTTAAGCATTGAGAATTGAAACGACTATTCTCATTCAATGCGAATATTAACTATTCGTCTCGTAAAATACGAGCATACGAAACACTCTTCTCGTAAAATACGAATGTACGAATAGAGAATACGAAGTTAAGAAGTAACTTCTCATTTGATACGAAAAGTGGCGTGATTTCCCCATCTGAGAATAAATAGAAGCTCAAAACTACGGGAATTCATTCCCAACAATATATCTTCTAACACCAACACCACTCTCTTCAACCACCCCCAACCAATCTCTAAAATAATATCTACTCTCAGTAAAAATATCTCTAATCTCACCGTTAAAATAGATATTGAGTCAAAAGGCAACTTGCTGTAAATTCATACTAACTTCTTTTCTAATAAAAGATTTCTCAGCGAATTTTAGATTTACTTTCTAAGATAGAAAGTAGAAAGGACCCTTTACTCCTAGCAAGCGTTTTGTCCGACGTATATAGTTTTTGCTAGCGTAATAATAGATACGGTAAACGTAGTGCAGATGAAAATGAATTGAATATAACAAGTACTAGCGTGTAACGCACCTACGGTGCTTCGAATTTTTGGCAACTCATGAAAAACTGCATACATTGCAATCCACATCTGCAGGCTTTTAGTGTACTCTGACAGCACCCAATTACATGGCTGGTAATTTGATATTTGATTTAGATAAGTTTTTTTAATTCCTGTTTTCCGTCATCTCGAAAGAGTCAAATCTCGAAAAGTACAAATATTTGAGTATTTTATTTGGAGACAAAGTTTACAACACTTGGAGGTACCCTGCCAGCACAGTGTTCGGATATTTGAATTTTGAAAATTTTTCGAAACCTAAATTAATTGAAAGTTTTGGAAAAATCATAGAAAAAACCTCATATCTCGAAAACTACAAGGATTTAAGCAGTCATGATTGAAGGCAAGATTCAAAAGTCCTGAGAGTACCGTGACATCCCCAACTACAGAGTTTTTCTGAGCCTCCAAATACAGTGTTTTTGTTCGAGTTTTCTGAACTTTTTTTTGTTGAAAAAATCGAAAAAGAAACGTTCAAAAATATGAGCAATTAAATTTGGAGGCAAGATTCGCGACTCCTAACAGTAGCCATGGCAACACTCAACTATATGGTAAGCAATTTCAAAACTTGAAAAAAATTCAACTTAAATTTTTTGAAGCTTTGGAAAAAAATCGCAAAAAAGGCATATCTCGAAAACTACAAAGATTTGAGCAGTTAAAAATGGAGGTTCGCAATACCTGAGAGTACTCTGATAGCCCCCAATTACAGGGTTGGGAATTTCAAGATTGAAGAAAAAAATTTGTTAATTTTCTGAAAACTTTTCGAAAAATCACAAAAAACGTTATTTCTCGAAAACTACAAAAAAAATAAGCCGTCATATTTAGAGGCAAGTTTCGCAACTCCTGAGAGTACCCTGACAGAACCCAACTAAATATTGAAAAAAGATAAAACAAGTAGAAAATCCAGATAAAGAGAGATTGGAGACAACCATTCGACGGTATTACTATTTTGAACTAAATCGTCAAAACCAAATTCATAGTCAAAAATTAGCAATCGGGTTTGCGATTCTAAGTCCAGACTTTCACAAATGTAAATTTGGTCGTGCCTATGAATTTTAAGCTTATTTTGAGAGGCGGCTTTAATTTCAAACCGGAACTTCAATCCAACCTGTAAAGGTCAATATAAACTTTGAGAATAAATTTTTATTAGGGGGATTGAAAAAAAATAGCCTAGATGAGATTAGAAAATTAATTTGACCAACGTTTCAAAAACTCATTGGAACCACCATTCACTTGTGTACGACCTTACATATGCGCTTGATCAGAAAAGCACAAGACTGTTCAACTGACCCTATTCTTCAGCCATTTTGAACCAAAGCTTTTGAGTAAAACTCCACCTGAAATCATGATCAAAAACCAATCGATCAAATCTTGGTATAGTTTATTTGATTAGATTTTTTAATCAACAACACGCCCCAAATTTAAAAATTTCAAATTATTGGTTGAATCTTATTCGAGTTCAATTATGGCATCATTTGAAGGACTTGTTAAGAAATTTCCAGTAGATTTGTTAAAAATACATTTACTCAGCAACGATTTGGTGAAAGAAAAAACTTCTTGGTTAAAATAACCTTAATGGGTGTTCAAAACTGGGTAAGGGTAGCAGGTTCGATTCTCGGCCCGGCAGTCTGTTTTACAATAACTTACGATAAAGTATTCGGCGTGTGGTAAAGACTGATGCCCATGCTCGGAAATATTTTGATGGCAGCGGTTAAAAGTGGCCTCCACCAGTTTAATGACAAGTTAGCCCAAGAGTACGGACAGAGAGGGTATTTCGTTTAAAAAAGAGTTTCAACCTAAGATGTCACAAACATTTTTTTTGTGATTGTGCCATAGTCCTTTTTAGACTCTTTTAACCAACCAAAAATCTGAAAAAGACTCTCAAACTAAGAGAAACGTTTTTTTTACTCCTAGCTAATCCTGAGAATGGTCCCAATTTTCAAAAAAATCAAAGATTCGAAGAAACTATTTAAGCAACAACATTAGCCGCACTGGAATTTCACGGATAATAATTGATTATATTGTCACGTTTTAGTCAGTATCTATAAAATTACTGAAGTAACTGAGTAGAACCCATTAGAAATGGATCAAACTCGTAATATTTTTATATAAAAAAAACAAATCAGAATTAATTATAATCAATAACAATCCATTAGAAAAGGATCATAATCATAATTTTTGCATATCAATGTTATCATTCACAAACGATTGAATCGATTTAAAAGTTTTTTTGGAAAATTATAGAGAATGACAAAAAAAACCCCATTATAATCGATTATTATCCATGGAAATTCACTGTGGGTAGTTTTCTGTCCATACTTTGAAAGTCAAGCTGACGATTTATTCTTAAATTTTTATAATCAGAATATTGCAATTTTTATCTATAACTGAGCAAACGAAGTTTGGTTTGGGCAGACATTTGCCTCAAAAGTTTGGTATGTCCAGTTTTTTGCGCCCCGGGATGACATTTTTGTAATTCTACGTCCAGACTTTCACAAAATCAAATCAGGATGCGCCTGTGCATTTCAAGCCTGGGTTGAGAGGCGGTGCGACTTCCAAACCTCAATTTCATTCCAACCGGAAGGTTATAATAAATTTTTGTTTCAATTTTCAGTATGGAAATCGAAAAAATAGCCAAGAAGAAAACAGAAAACCAATTTGAAAAATGGGAAAAATCTTATGGAACAGAAAAAACTTCAAAAAATCAATGAAACCACTATCCACTTCTGTATGACCTTACATCTGCACATAATCAGAAAAGCACAAACCTATTCATTTAACCTTAATTTTCAATTATTTTGAACAAAAGATTTTGAGGCAAACTCAAACTAAAATCATGATCAGCAACCAATCGAACAAATTTTGGTGTAGTTTATCTAATTAGGTTGTTTTTATCAACGACCTTGCCTCAAACTTGAAAATCATAATTTATCGGTTGAATCGTATTCGAGTTATATTATGGCATCCTTTGAAGGACTTCTTCAGAAGATTCCAGTATATATTTTTAAATAGATGTGTTCGGCAACGATTTGGTCAAAGAAAAAAGCTTCTTGGTTAAAACAACTTAAGATGGTGTTCCAAACTGAGTATGGGTAGTCGGTTTGGTTCTCGGCGCCGCCGTCTGTTTTGAAATCCCATACGATGAAGTATTTGGCTCGTGTGAAAGAGAAGGCGTTCGCGCCAAAACCACTGCCCGATTTGACCAAAGCTTCATATATGCAAAACTCTTAGCATACAATTTTATACGTACAAAAAATTGTATGAAAACTTTATGATTAGCATTTTTCCACATACGAAAATTGTATGACAAGTATTATTCCATAAACAAAAAAGTTGATTTTCTTTCTGAATTTAGTTTCTGAAAAAAAATTTTGGGTTCTGTTCATAATCGAACGCGAGTGAAAAACACCTTGAGTTAAACAACACCTTACAATGCATACAATACTACCTGATTTGTCTTACAGCTGTCTTCCACAAATGATATAACGAAAGTAACAATCTTCTAAATTTTGGCAAAATTTTTCAATGATGATTATTTTTCGAATGTGAATTTTTAAACTGTCAGACATTGATCAAGAAGACATACATAAACATGCCAAGCAAAAAAATAAGAGGCTTCACTGTTTTTGAAAACAGTAATTAAGCGAAAAGGAAAATAAAACATTAGTGTATCCAGGATTACGTTATGCACACAAAAATATTTATTTAGCCTGCAACAAAATTTTTGGAAAATATTTTGTTTGAGAACAAAATTCGATTCAAGGTTGAAAAAAAAACAACAAAAATATTTATGGCAATTTCAAAATTTTTGTGTCGCCATCATAAAAATGCTAGTCATACAATTCCCTTTGATGGGAATTGTATGATAAGCTATTTTTCGAAAAACTAAATCCTCGGTTTTTTTTCATAACCAGGCTATTTTATTCGAATCAAACAGCCGCAGATGTTAATATATATCTTTTTTCAACCTTTTTTTGAAATCGTGCGAAAATTGCATGACAAGCATTCTTCCATGCACTTGATGTAAGGAATTGTAAGATTGGCATTTTTAGTGCATGGAGGTCAACACGGGTTCCATATTTGGAAATAGTTTGATGGCAGCGGTTGAGGGTGGTTTCCATCAGTTTAATGAGAAGATAGCCCAAGAACATTTTAGTGATATAAGGAGCTAATATGACCTACTAACTTAATTTCAGTTCGAGAATTTCTTGATTGGGATAATAATTTGAGTAATGCTTTTAGCATCTCCGATAAAATCTTCAGCTACAAAGCTGATTTAAATTCTCCAGAAAAAACGAAAACAAGTTTCTCAAAATGAATAAAGCTTACACAAAAACGACAGAAGGACAAAAGTTACTCAAATTTTACCACAATTCATATGATGCATTTTTTTCAAGAAACTCGTCAGCCATTTTGGCTATTTCGCATTAATCGAGAATTACTCTGAAACTACCGAATTAATTGATTAAAAATTATTCCATAAAAAGCTTCATACTCGGCCAAACCAAAAACTTGCGTAAAACCTTTTAAGTTAATATTAGCCGACGATTTTGATTTTTATTGGCTATCAATCAAAAATATGTTTTCTACAGATTTTTGGAATTTTTATCCTAATAAATATTGTTGGCTGGTGTAAGTGGCTCCTCTTGTTATAAATTTCGTACCAATTAACTCTGCGGTAGTTTCAGCGTAATTCTTGATTAATTCAAAAAGCCCAAATGACCCATTTTTGAGTGACGTTTTTGTTGAGTGAAGCTTATGAGTCTCACGCACTAACCTCTCAGCCACGGACGCTTAATAATTCAAACTAGCCACAAAAAAAGCAGAGAACGGGTGCTATCAAATTTCCAAGGCTACAGATCGTGATTATAGCAAAAATGCCACCAACGAACTGAATACTTTTAATGAGCACTTTTAATTGCCGATTAGGTTGGAAAAAAAGGCTTGTACTAATACACTACGCCAGCAACCTTTTTTGTGTAAATAATTGGATCAATAGATTTTTTTAATCCGCTGTCAACTTTGACAAGTGAAATCTGTTTTTGAAGTAAGTTGCATGTTTTGTACCATTTCAAATATTTTCGAAAGCTTTTTTGCCAGAGAAGTCTTGGAAAAAGTTTCTAAAGCTTTGGTAATTGTCAATAAAAATGAACTTAACTCGATCGCTTCACTCGCACCAAAAGACAAAAAACAAAAATCTCAACCCGAATTTTCTCGACAGTGGAAAACTTTATTGCCATTTTTTTAATGTCATTTGAATCACAACTTAATGGGCTTCATTAAGATATATCACTCAACCCAGTAGGGCCCGGTGGTTAACCGAACCGAACCGAACCGAAAGCCGAACCGACTCTTGTAAAACCGAAACCGAACCGACTGAAAATAAAAACCGAGCCGGTTTCGGTTTATTTACATAGCTAATTGAGCTGCTCGATTTACTGTTATTTGTGAGGAAATTCATGGGACTTCTAACTGCGAAAGCGTGGTGGACAAGGACGAGCTTGAAGAATATTTGACTTGCCCGTGTATGCCTTTTGCCGAAGATTACAATGCCCTCGACTTTTGGAAGGCAAACTGCGTGAAATTCTCGAAATTATCAAAGATATCCCGGAGGGTATTTTTGTTTCTTAAATGAGCGCTGAATAAACCGTTTCAGACTAACTGTTTTCTTTAGAAAAAAAAACCGAAACCGAACCGAAAACCGAGATATTAGTGAAAAAACCGAACCGAAACCGACCGACGGAGAAATTTGGCGAACCGCCGGGCCCTACAACCCAGTCCGCTGATTATTTGTGTTGCCTGGTTTTGCGTGGAAAACGAAAAAAAACACTCGAATAGAAATTGCTCCCTTTTTCAATAGTCAGAACAATAAGTAGTAACAATTTGATAATTATTGAAAGGGCCAAGATTGCGGAACACAACCAGTAAATAGTTAGTTGATCAATATGAGACTACGGTTTATAAAATTTGTAATAACCCCTGTCCAAATTTTGTAACCTTTTACAAACATTTTAGATTTTTTCCCTGCAGACATTTTGGAAAAACAGCTTAAAACTGTTTCGAGAACGGTCGGAAAAGCAATTTGATCAATCTAGAAAAAGTTCGAGCGAACTGCATGACTATTATATTCAAAAAGATTCAATTATTTTTGACCTGTGTGAGAACTCAAAGGGATGCTATGGCCGACACAGCGATAGGAAAGGCAAAATCCAAACCGAAAAAGGTAACTTAAAAAGGGAGAAAGCCAAGATCGATGTTACAATCCTCAATGCTTGCGGTTTAGTTCCTTTTTTTCTGTAAAAAAGCAAGTTTACAGCAATCTGATTGGCTGCAAAACTTGCTTGGGAAAATCCACTGGTTTCTTAAGAACTGAGGGGGTGATTATCAAGATATCTCCAAATTGATTTATTCGGATACATGAGACCATGTCGAGATCAAATATATCGAGTAGGATATGCAAAAACTAGATCGACTTGCTGAAGAAATTTCGAAGTTTGACATTTTAAAGAAGTTTTTCCATCACTTTTTGAATATACGTTAAATTAGGCCAAATTATTTTTTTGTGTTTTACAGATTGGGCAGTTGAAAATCCCTTCAAGTAGTTCATATGGTCGCCAAGATCCGCAACATTTTAGACCCAAACGATTTGATCCGGAAGAGTCGAAGGTTCGATCTCCCTACGCTTTCAACGCCTTCGTGATCAGTCCTCGAAACTGTATCGGCATGCAAATGTTTGCATTGAAGATGGCTTTTGTAAAAAAAATCTATCGAAGCATAATTGACAGTCAAATGAACTTTGTGATTTAAAAAGTAATCAGAATTGGGTTAAAATTGAACTCTAAAATGAAAAAAAAACGTCAAAACTACTTCAAATTAGAATTTAAGCGTTGGTTAAAAGAAACTTTTTGTGTTGTTCAGAGTTTGAGTTTTGTTGTTTAATATAAATCATTATGCGTGTTTTTTTTTATAAACTGACCCTACAGATGACGCAGAAATTATTCCTAAACTTCACACTAAATTGGCAGCTTGAAGTGTGAATTGAGATATCTTATCACATTTCTCCCGTTCATTTGCAATCTGTTCAGGCAAGTGCACTGTCCAAAACGCACAAGACTCTGAGGTGTCCCAGACATCTGTCGATATTACGTCACTCATGTCATTGTTACGTAATCGCTTGTCTTTGGAGACGGGGTCGTTGAACACAAGTCTGAACCGGGTGAAGGGGTTCCATTTGGGCCACGTGAAGAGATTGAGACTCTCTGACAGGGAAGGATTGACCGAAGATCCAGAATTAGGGTTTCTGAAAATCAACAAAATATAACACCAATTTTTGACCAATTTCGAGTCCACGAATAGGTTGTTAAAACGGGGGAAAACCGTCCATCATACTAAACAAATGATAATTATTGCAGCTTAGAGCTTAGAACCGTTCAAAACTTTTTCGCTTAAGAACATATTTGTCATCTTTTGAATAATAATTTTACATTTTTGACTGTTTTAGATGCCCTATGATTTCGCAAATTGTATTTCAAGCAAATGAAAAATTTAACTTGCTTAAAAACTCCCACCGGAATCGATTCTACTTTCATACGTCATTGTTGACATCACCTGGAAATGAAAAGGCCTTACCCTGTTTTAGTCATATTCCCCCACGCACTCATAATGCCATTGAGCAGCAACTCTTCTTCGCCTCCGTTTCCGAAGACCAGTTCGATTCCCGTGTCGTAGATTTCCTTCTTCGAGTTAGCTGAGTCATAGTAGCCATTACCACTCCACGATACCGGATCCTCCGCTTTGAAGTAGGGCAGTTTGAACATGTAAGCCCCCGATCCAGAACTGGCGAAGGCTTTTACCGTATCAATTCAACTTGTGGTTCCCCAAAAAAAGAATAAAACTCGCGAATTCAAGTATCCAAAACAGATAAATTGAACCAGATACATTACAGTTTTTCGAGTAACTATGCGACGTCACAATCTGTTCAATATAGTTTTTGCGAAAAGTCCAAAAAAACCACACTCGAAAGTTTTTATGTTCGCTTTACAAATAGTATATGCTTTGATCATCAGTCATAAGCAGGCGAGGATTTAGGGGGCGGACTCCTCCTCCTCAGGGATGCGACCCTCTCACCGACCAAAGGGTCCCCCCTTTGCTATAATTTTATGACGTCCATTTTTGGCTGGCCAATCCTAAGATTGTTCTAAAAATGTTTCTTCTAATTTTGAAGGTAGCGTGCGCTGAAAAAACCCAATTTTTTTCAAAATTTTTCAAAAAGTGCCTAAAAACGGCAATTTTGACCAGGTTTTTTTTTCAAAATTTTGCTAGCGGCACCAATAGATTGCGGGGAGGCGCGTGAGAGATTCGACCCACTGCCGACCTAAAGGGTCCCCCTTTGTACTACTTTGAAAAAAAACCATTTTTGGTAGACGGACCTTACAATTTTTTAAAAGCGCCTTGAGCGCCAATATTTACTAATGTGGAACGGTAAGACCGCGCCAAAAAACGCGAATTTTTGGTCAGATTTTTCCAATTAAGTGCCTAAAACGCCTTTTTGGCCCTTTTTTCAAATTTGTTCAAATAGAGTCTTCATATTGTTTTGGGAGCTCTCAGAAAATCATTTAAATTAATCATTAATCGAAAAAAAAGTGTGACTAAGCTTTCGAAAAAAATATTGACCTTTTAAAAGGTATACCCCCCCCCCAAAAAAAAAGCTTCTCAGATAAACTACTATATCTTTTTGTTTATTTGGCCAATTTAATAGAAAATATTTCAACAGAAAATAACTTTCTTTATAAAAGGCCGTCATTCTTAATGTCAAAAAAAGTGATACAAATTTTGCTGATTAGGGCAACCGCAAGTTGAAATTGTGCCTTTGGCGAATGTGACTACAGGGCAGTTGTAGAACTTGTCCTGAATGAGGGCGCGGAAGGACTCGAAGAGAGCCGTCTGATTGCCCATGCGACTCCAGTCTCGATACTGGTAGATGATCTGCTCCTATCATTCACAAAACAAAGCTGCAATTCTAACGAAATTTACAATAAAAACTGTTAATGCTCATTAATCTTATGTTTATTGATTCATAATTGACTTCTAATGTAAAGGTAAGCCCACGCACTAGATACTTGATCCCTCTTTGACGTATAGAAAAGCAACCAAAAATGAGAAACTAAATGAAACTAAAAGGATATTCATATGACAAAAGATCTCTGTTTTGAATAAAAACATCAACGCTCATCAATCTCGCGCAAAGAAAGATACTAACTAGATTTTGAGAAAACTGTTATTATGTTCAGCAACTCATCTCAATTCTGGTAGCCAATTTGATATAGAAACCGTCCTTTCATACTATTTTAGACACCCATTTCGGACCAAACAGCCCTAAAAATTCTATTTGACGCCAATTTAATTTTATTGTGAAAGTCCCGATTTTTGGACAAAATCCCTCAAAACAACCCGATTTTTGGACAAGACGTATTCATAAACGGCATTTTTTTAAATCAAAAAAATGTCAGCGGTGCTAAATGTTTTCACAAATATGGTCATTTTCGGGTATCGGGAAAGCTTGAAAAATTCAAATTATTGACCCATAAAAGGTCGACAAAAAAATTCGGGAAAACTACCCCGTCAAATTATTCCAACGCACGTCACCTTGATGGCGCAAGAAAACAATGGTTTTCATTTTAATATATAATTCACCTGGAGTATGGACGGAACATAATCGTGGGGCTCGATATTGGCGCAAATAGTGCCACGGGGAGGGGCCATACTGCCAAATATTAGTGAGACTGAGAACTTGAACAGCTCGTAGGACATCTTGTTCTCACCACTCGTTACTGATGCATCCACCATGCGAATGTCTTGGAACACTTGCTCGAAGAAGTGCACTCCTTCAAAGCCAGTTGTTCCTGTATAAAAGAAAAGACTAAGCTTCCCAGATCAAACTCTTAAACAGAAACTTATAATTGAAATGTACAACAACAGGGACTCGGAGTGGATATTTTGATATTGTTCCGACGATTTGAAAAATGAGGAGAAACTTTGTATTCGGGTGTGTTTTAATTTTTTTTCCAATCAAATTCAGGTACCACAAAGAATCATCAGAATGAGTCGAGTGATATATCATATTAGAGCCCTTTCAGTCGAGATTCGAAGGAATATATAAGTTAGAGAATCGAGAAAAAAAACAGGTTTTACATTTTGTGATTTTTTTTGGTCTTAATTCGAGCGAATAATGCGAGCGAAAATGCTTACAATAGCTTACAAAAACTTGAAGCCTGAAACTTTAGTTTGTTTTTGATTTTTTTGTTTTTCTATTCATCTATCTACAAAAAATGTTGCACGCTTTGCTTATTTTACTATGACTGCCAAATATACCCAAGCTCTGGTTTATATTTCGGATCTTTTTTATCCACCACGCAGAAACAACAAAAAACTTTTGAAAAAACTTTTTTTTTGTATTTTTTGAAGACTGTGGTCGGATCACTCTATTGTGATAGCATAGCAACCAGCTATCCTTGATGTTGTTGTGTATTTACAGCAATCTTGAAGTAAAAGCCGTTATTCATTAAAGTAAATTAATGTCTAGTTATTACGACGATTTTGACAATCACAACTATTAAAGGTTTCGCTCAGAAAACTTTTCTTTAAAGAATCTCGACATCGTTTTGACTGTTCTATTTCTGGTCTCTAATTTTCATTTAAAAAACACGATGTTTGATTTGCGACATGTGTTGTACACACACTAGTTTTGCGTTTTTCTGTTCGCATTTTCGACCACGTCATTCGTTGTTTTGACAATTTTGCAGATCGGACAACGGAATGCAGCTGGTGATTTCATTTAGTGTTTTCACAAGTTTTAGGATGTCATTTATTTTACACAGAGGTGAATCGGAGCTTCGAACAATTTGCGATACAACCCAAACATAAAAAAAATCAAAAGAAATCGAAAAAAGAATGAAACAAGTTGAAAAAAACAATAAGTGAACCAAATTTTCGTAGTCTCCATAAATGAGTAAAGTATAGTTTTGAGAAAAGTCGATAAGTTTCTAAAAAACGGTCAATGCTTCAAAACCATTTTTGAGAATGAAAATTTTTCTGAAAAAAATTGAGCGTAGCTTATTATAATTGAAAGCTTCCAACAACCTGTTGTTTCAATTCAACCCTTGAGATCAGATTTGGCAGGATAATTATCGAGAGAAAACAAAAATTGTCTAAAAACAGTCATCAGATCAAAAAATTAACTTTTCCGAGAATCATGACTTTTTGTGTTCACAATTTTGGGTGAAGCAGCTTATGCAGAAGAGATTCACGCAACCTGAAATTCAAGTTTGGGGAAATTTTTGAGAATAGTCTGATAGTTTTTTAAAAAATGACTTTTCGGAAGGCCATAACATTTCGTGTTAAAAAACTGAGCGTAGTCATTTATGCAAAAAAAACTCGTTATTTTGATTGAACCCAAAGTCTCAGATTCGAATGTTAGTGTTCGAGAAAAGTCAAAAAATTCAAAAAATCAAAAATATGACAATTCCGAGGGCCATAACAATTCTTTAAAGTTTCCCTGAGTTTTCCCCACTAATATGAAAGTTGCAATTTGCCCTCAGAATTTTAGGTAACCAGGATTATAAATTGCCGAGTCATTTCTTTTTTAAACCCACATTTCTATTGCATGAAGATCATCCTGTACTTGCCGAAAACTTTTTCAAATGGGTGAAACCTTCAAATTGTTGGCAGATAAATAGGGTTTTGCAAATGTGAGGACTCCAACTAGATCGTTCATACAGATGCAAAACAAAAGCGGACCTAATAACGAGCCTTGCGGAACTCCACTCGTGATTTCCAAACTTTTTGAGCTCGTATTTTAAACTCTGATAAAAAATATTTACGTTTGGCAAGGCAATCAGTTATAGTCATGAAGACGAGCATTTCACTCCAATGTTTAAAAGTTTTCATTTTAAATAAAAATGGGAAAAGTTATCGAACGCTTTCAAAAAACGATATAAAGATCGGTGATTTCTGAAATCGGCTTGTTATCTATCGTAAATTCTTTTCAAGAACCAAAGCATCTGGATTTGAACAATTTTTGGTTCGAAATTTTGACCAAACAAGGGTTTTCTACAAAACTTTACAATTTTTTCTTCGAAGCAAAACTAACCTGTAGTTTTCTACCATCGCTCTATCTGATTTTTCAACATTTTCAAAAATCAGGTATTTTGTGTGCCATTGTTCTTCAAAATTGAGCGTAAAAGATGACATTTTTTTCTGGACGTCTTCTGAAAAAAAATTCTGTCAGTATTCAGTTTGATCCTCTTGCTTTGAAGATTTCAATGAGCTCAAAATGCCTTGAATAGTCCTCAAGGTATCAAAGCTTGCTAAAATCTCATCTTTATCTCAACGTTTTCTATACTAAACAAAATCTTAGCAGGAACAAATTTTGATTTTTACTAAAATTTTGTTAGAAATGTCTGTTTAAGAGAAAAAAAATTTGGTCTTTGTACAAGTATGTTAGTTGAACCAGTGAAACTTAGATGGTTGCAAAAAACTTTCTATTAGGATTTACTTAATCTAAATAGCTTTTGCCTTCAATTATTAAGCAACATAGTAAATAGCTGAAACAAATTCCTATATTTTCTGTTTCCAAAGAAATATTGGGAAACAGAAAAACACGTCGCTAATTTTTGAAGAACAAAAACCAGCCTTTGAAGAAACTTTGCAAATTTCGAATGATCGTGCGAGTAACTAAGCGAAACAAAAATTCCAAACTGGAATTCTAAGCATATATGCTAATCCAAACTGTAAGGAAATAGCAACGGAAAAAATCTCAAACACAGCCGACAATCTTAGATCAGACAACAGATGAGCCGAAAAAAAATTGATAACATGAAAATGTTGAAAAATTTCGAGTCCTCCTGAAACTACAATGGACATGATACCAAGATACTTGCTTACGTCACAAGCAGATCCGTGGTGTGACAACTAATTCGATAAAATTTGACCAGATAAATGAAAGTCCGACAAATCAATTTTTACTGCAAATGCATACATACTGAAAAAAGCCAAGTCCAAAAGAACCTCGAAAAATCAAAAATAAAGCAGGATGATAACTTAAAAGGAAAGGTGTTTACGGAAAAAGGTCCAGTTCTCGATTACAAGACACCTGCTTTCGAAAATGTGTAAAGAAAAAATGAGAGGGGCAAATCATGAAGGACCGGAGCTGAGTTTTGTATTCTGGTTTTTTGTTACTCACTAAACAACGATTTTTTCTTTATCTTTCCAGCCTTTGTAATTCCGCTCGGGTTGATAATACACAAGTAAAACCATACGACAAAACTGGAAGTGTCTAAGACTTATACAGACCCAGCTTTACCACTTTTTGACTTTTACTGAGACATTCCGTTTCAGGAGATAAAAACTTTTCTCAATAAGAATGCTCTTAGTCAGATTTTCACATTTATATATCCTCAGGTTTTCCACCGCTTTAAAGTTTCCCCGAGTTTTCCCCACTAATATGAAAGTAGCAATTCGCCCTCAGAATTTTAGGTAACCAGGATTATAAATTGCTGAGTCATTTCTTTTTTAAACCCACATTTCTATTGCATGAAGATCATCCTGTACTTGCCGAAAATTTTTTCAAATGGGTGAAACCTTCAAATTGTTGGCAGATAAATAGGGTTTTGCAAATGTGAGGACTCCAACTAGATCGTTCATACAGATGCAAAACAAAAGCGGACCTAATAACGAGCCTTGCGGAACTCCACTCGTGATTTCCAAACTTTTTGAGCTCGTATTTTAAACTCTGATAAAAAATATTTACGTTTGGCAAGGCAATCAGTTATAGTCATGAAGACGAGCATTTCACTCCAATGTTTAAAAGTTTTCATTTTAAATAAAAATGGGAAAAGTTATCGAACGCTTTCAAAAAACGATATAAAGATCGGTGATTTCTGAAATCGGCTTGTTTTCTATCGTAAATTCTTTTCAAGAACCAAAGCATCTGGATTTGAACAATTTTTGGTTCGAAATTTTGACCAAACAAGGGTTTTAGTAAAAAATCTGCTGAAGTGCTATTTTTATGCTTTTCTACAAAACTTTACAGTTTTTTCTTCGAAGCAAAACTAACCTGTAATTTTCTACCATCGCTCTATCTGATTTTTCAACATTTTCAAAAATCAGGTATTTTGTGTGCCATTGTTCTTGAAAATTGAGCGTAAAAGATGACATTTCTTTCTGGACGTCTTCTGAAAAAAAATTCTGTCAGTATTCAATTTGAGCCTCTTGCTTTGAAGATTTCAATGAGCTCAAAATGCCTTGAATAGTCTTCAAGGTATCAAAACTTGTTAAAATCTTATCTTTATCTCAACGTTTTCTACACTAAACAAAATTTTAGCAGGAACAAATTTTGATTTTTACAAAAATTTTGTTAGAAATGTCTGTTTAAGAGAAAAAAAAAAATTGGTCTTTGTACAAGTATGTTAGCTGAACCAGTGAAACTTAGATGGTTGCAAAAAAACTTTCTATTAGGATTTACTTAATCTAAATAGCTTTTGCCTTCAATTATTAAGCAACATAGTAAATAGCTGGGAACAATTTCCTAAATTTTCTGTTTCCAAAGAAATATTGGGAAACAGAAAAACACATCGCTAATTTTTGAAGAACAAAAACCAGCCTTTGAAGAAACTTTGCAAATTTCGAATGATCGTGCGAGTATTTCCTAAATTAAATGTCTTTTACTAACAAAAAATAATGACATCATTAAAATCAGAAAGCAAAAAAAATCAATTTGTCGAAAAAATTGGATATATCAAAATGAGTAAATCAAGTTTTGAAAAATTTATGCCAAGACGATAGAATGTGGAGTTCGCATTGGAAGAAAGCTTAGCCAGATGTACCAAAAGCGAAAACAGATACT